CCATCAATAACGTAAGAATGTTAAACGCTGGGGGCAGCAAAAACAGGGTAAAAACCTCTAAGGCATAAAGATTAAGAAGAGAAATGTGTAAAAAAAGGAGCCGATATTAATATGACAAAGATTTATTAACCACATTGATACACAGGCTTTCCAAAACTGAGTTCCCTCTGCGTGGGGGTTGAACCTGTGTTATTCCCTCTTATAGAGTCAGGCATATATGCCGACCTTCTTCGTTCTTAAATCTATGTATACTTTGTTAAGGCTGAGGCATCGTTTGTCCTTTAATACTATGTTTATTATTACTGTTATGCCTTGATATTTAATAGCACTGCGTTTGACGTACGCGTGACTGCTTTTTTGAAAAACTTTTATCAAGAAAATAATTAAAATTCTAAATTCGTACGTATTCATGAACGGCGCCCATAATTAGGCATTAGACGCGCAATTAATGTAAATATCAAGGCTTTGCCTTGACCTTAAAGGGCAATATGTTATACAATTATATTCCCTTTTTATCCTTCGAAGGAGTAACCGAAATTTGGTGTTTTCGAGGGAGGATGTCGTGGACTCCGTTCCACGTTTACTTTGCGGAAAAAACCTCTTGAATTATTTTGAATAAATTCTCATCAGGCCGCTGCATTTATATTGCAGGGGACTAAAGTGGAAAAGGTAAGTTTTAGGTAAATTACCTTCAGCGTTAAAGGAAAATTAGATCAGGGAATAGGGGAGGGGGTGAAGGTAGTAATAAGTGGCTAATTAAGCGGCAATTAGGGAGAAAGGGAGGGAAAGGGAGAGAGGAGGCGCCGAAAAATGCCGGTAGCTAGGTGGCTGTTGGCCATGCTAAACTTGGAGCTTGCAGCAGGTTATTTTGCGCACACAAAACCGGCTTCCTCAAGCGGATAGCGGTTGCTTCTGCGGTTGCTAGCAGGCGCTTACCCAGTGACTAAGGGTAGTTTAGTGGCACCTTCTAGATCACCGTGAAGGCTTCGTTGGAGTCCACCAGATGTCCGGAATCCACAATGTGCGCTAAAATAGAGCTATTGATGGTCTTTGTGGTATTGACTTCACTTTTGGTTAGCCATTTCGGGAGGTGTTCCTTTATTCTTTTACACTTTACCCCCTCCCATATAAATGTAACGGCCTAATGAGAAGTTCAAGGAAAGACGTCTTTTGGGAAAATGAGTAATTTCTTTAGTAAATTTTCGACACAGGATGCCCAGGTCGTCCTCAGACTTGAGAGCAAAGTGCAAATAACAGTGTCGAAAATTTAGTGAATAAACTTACTCATTTTCCCAAAGGAGGTCTTTCGTTGAAATTACATTTCTTGGGATGCCTGCCTTTCTGTTGATGAGAAGTTATTGAGGGTATACGTATGCTCGCCAATGGTTCCTTGGATTTCTGTGATGGGAATTTTTGCAATCTTGCATTTTTTGTATACGACCACTTATTATTATCTATGCATGCGTGGGCAGTATGTTCGGCATTTTAAATTGCATTCAATATTAGCATGCCTGCATCGACATTAATCTTCATTGAATGTTAAAATATGTGTGCCGCCTGGCCAAACGACCTCTCACCCACAATCAAAACAAACCTATTTGGTGAGATTAATTGCCTTACCGAATACATAAAGACTAAACCAAAAACAGAGGTCAAGATATCGAAAAATACACCCTTAAAGTAATTACTTCTTGTTCACTCAAGAGGGTATATATATACACATAAGGCGATAGGAGAGTACCAACCCTGTCGAAATGTTGTGTCCCGTGATTTTCCTCATAGCGGCATGTCTGGGTTTCGGACATTGTGCCCCAGCCCGTAAGTCTTCATTTTAATTTGTATTAAACTTTTACAGCTGCTTGCATATCTGACGAAATGTCCATCTATCGACAAGAAAGTGTCCACTGCGCGAAGTCAGCCCACACCGGTATTCCCGCAACTATAGCAGTAGCGAATTAAGTACCATAAGTAAGGCAAACATAGGTTGGTTGATAAATCACTATTTACTAAAACACAAATATGTATTTGTTATGAAATTTTCGAAATTAAGGTAATGGCTATATGACAGGTTAGTGCTCCACTGTTAAATACAAATGTGTGTAGGACTCAGAAGTACAAACAGTACAGTGGAAATTAGTACAGAATAAGTACAAATAAAAAATGTTTACATTTTGTCTACTTTCTATTATTATTATTATTATTTAAAATAGCCTTAAGTCTGTCAGGCATAAGCGTGGTCGACTTATCAATAATTGTTTGTGCAATGTGCGCATTCAGTACACATTCCACATTCGGATGCAAGGAAATATTCCTTCTCCTTTGTGCCAATTTCTATTAACAATAGCAAATATTTTGTATAGGAATCAGTTCCCGGCTGCTGTCAGGAATCGTTTAGAAGCCACACGCAGCAAGGCTGGTTGTTTACTTAAAAATTAGATTGCGGTTGTACTTGTAATCAAATTCATACCACCTTGTGTATGTTGACAGAAATTACTTTTATCGGCATTCGTTTGCAATTATTCACAGATTTCGCACCCGAAGAGCTGCAGATTGTTTTGAAATTTCTGCTTAGCACTTTCCCAATTTCGGTGTTATTATTCGTTTCTCCCAAATACTGATTTTGTTCAACCGGTTAAGAAAAAATAAAAAAAGAAATTCCTTAAAGGTGTTTCCCTAAACGAGGCGGACCTAAACAATCCTTTTTTATTTAGCTGTCTTTTTGGATATGGTTTTGAAACACCGAGAAAAATAAAAATCGTCCAGTAGAAAGTCTAAAATGAGTACGTTTAAGGTTAATTGATAGACTTCCAATAAGACCTTGCCTCTTGCAAATACGTTTTAGTTAGATATCTCGGCGTCAAACATATAAAGACTTTACCATTTTTGAGGCTTCAGTCATGACCAAAAGGGGATAGTTTGACCAGGTTTTTGACTTCCCTAAAAGTAAGGGATACATCCTCTACTGAAAATGAAAGGATGTCCGCAGCAGTTCTCAGCATAGCATCTTTTTATAGGCAATGCTTTTTGATAGCAAAAGCCTAAAAAGTGACATAAGATATTCTTCTCTTTTAAAATTTATAATATTCTGCCTGATCCATTTCAAGTTTTTCTATTCATTGATTCTGTTCCGTGTATTGACAATATTCTGACGTAATTCTTTTACGAACTTATAGATAAAACGTATGACAATTCGAGATATTCTATATGAAGACAATTACGGTCAATAGTGTAGACGTATAAGGAAAACTTAGGGGCCCTGCAAATGTATTACATATCTTTATGACACAAAATACGACAACATTGCAAGAAGAAAGTTTGTAATTTGACTTTCCTTTCTTTTTCCCGACAATAATTCTTTATCTCGTACGTACGCTTACCTTGTTTTCATGAACGCAAAGCTAAATTGTCTGTGCTCTGGACAGATATCATGAAAATGTTTCTGATCTCTACTTATGTACTTTTATAGTACAACATGCACAAACAAAACGTGTTTTTTTCTGCAGCGTTAAGTAGCGTAGCAAATTCCCATGATATTAAGAAACCTTGGATTTTACCGAACGCCACCTGCTTCAACATCGTACTAAGGCAACAGAAACGGTAGATCCACCGCGACTGTTCACAGTCGCTTTAATGTTCATAGGCCGTTGAATGTGTCCTAAATTGTCACTTTTTAAAAAGTAAACAAACAACTGCCCCAGAAATTAAGCGTCTCCTAAACGGTCACATACACCACATTTAATGCTTGCGGCCGACTTGCCCAGAGATGCGTTTTTCTCAACTGCGAATAGACAATATTTGGCAAAATCCGCATGAATAATGTACGATTGTATGGTTTTAACTACGAGTTGTCATTGAGCTTATATGATAATAACTGACATGTCACCACTTAGCTATTGCTATGTCATCGGAATCAGATGATTTCTTTTACCTTTTTTTCTGCAGAGGAGCCGATGCCACTGAAAATGACTGCCTCGATGCCCAGCCGCTCGAGTATTCGTGTAGCTTGGTTGCCTCCAAAAGATACAAGCCAATGCGGAAACCAGTATGTGGTCATCGTCCGCAATGCAACATATCAGCACAAGGCTACTGTGTCGAAGCCAGAATTCATACTAAATGCCATCAATCTCTACTCCAGTTACCTTTTCACAGTACACGCTGTTGACAAGAAGGGACAGCCGTTCCGCTCTTACTCAGCACTTTCAGTAACGATTAAAACCAGTGGTAAATTTCTATTATCATCCCTGTCATATTCCATATTTACTAACGCGGTTTTACTCTCAAGTTAATAGTGACTAACAGGCAGATAACGATCTGCACATTAGAGAAAGCAAGCATTTTGCACTTTCCCTTTAGATAAGCAAATGCCTCTTCCCTGCTTTGTTTACAGAGTACACTGCGGGACCGAACACATGAAAACTGGCCCCCCGAAGGAGGACAAGATACAAAAAAATACAATGTTCATATAATTATATCCGGTTCGCTCAGGAGGGTTCATATATACACACAAAGCGGTAGGAGAGTAGCAGCCCAGCTGAG